ATTTAAATGAATTAATCTGCCATAGGGAACCCGAAAGGGGCGTTGTGGGGTGCTAACACCTTCCCCACACGTAACTAACTCCCTTACCCAACTCTGGTTATAATGGCCAAGTGCGGTTTTTCTTAAAATCAACATTTTTTCCTTTTCCAATGTTTATGGTCAAAACATTGGTGGCGACTCCATAAGAACCCCTTTTCGAAAACCTTTTAAAACAAAAACGCGAGTCTAAACCATCTTTTCGCGACCGCTCGCATAAACGTTTCTAAGACGTCCCCCTCCGGACGTCGGAAAGGGACGGCGGCGACAATCACCTTGAGTGGTGGTTTCCGATCACACTGGTGGGCACAAAGCCATAACTACAGCGAACCGTACCTGCCACCCACTCCCTATGGATTTCTCACTTGCCCCCGGGTATGGAGGGAAATGTTGTGTGCAAGGGTTTGTGTACAGTTTGTATTTCAAACAATTGCGTAAATATAAACAAACAACAGTTATTAAAGCCAAGCATTAAAACATGTTATAATACAAGGTAGGGTAAAAGTGTTATTTTCTTGGTTTATTTACTTCAGGCTAGCCCATCACTAAATGGGATTAACTCTCTAGGCTTCCCCAGTGGAGTCGCCATCTGTCGCTGCCGTCAAAACGAGGGCAGTCAGAGCGATGCGATGGTTTTCAACTTTCTGTTTTTCGCATTTTTATTGGTGGTTATAACGCCTTTAGGTTGTCTGATAATCGGGTTAAACCTAGGGGCGAGGTTTTTGAAAGGGCGCTCTTGGATTGTCCGATAACCAGGCTAATCCAAGAGCTAGTTTTGGAGGGTTCTTTCGAGTCGCCACCGACTTTTTTACCGGAAACATCGGAAAAGGATTTAAAAGGCGTTGGTTTTCGAAAAACCAACTTTGGTCATTAGAACCAGAGTTGGGTAAGGGAGTTAGTTACGCGTAAAGGAAGTATTAGTTCCTTTACGACGCCCCTTTCGGGTTCCCTATGATAGGCTAGCTACTTTGGATGAATAAATAAACCGGAAAATACGCTCTTACCCTTTATTTTGCGGAATTTAAAGTTATGACTACATGGCCCTAATCTCTATTGCACAATTTAGAATTAAAGCAGTAAAAGTAGAGAGAGAGAGAGAGAGAGTAAACCTCCGAAGCAAGCTTTTATATTAATCTTTGCAAAAAATAGGGTGCTTTGTGGCAGCCCTTCACTCTACACAGCGCCGAAAACCTCTCGAAACGCTCAAAAATACTCTTAGAAACGCTCAGAAACTCCAGAAATGCTTCGGAGGGGTTCTAGAGAGAGAATTTTAAGTGATTTCTAGAGAGACGGAATTTTAAGTGAGGGGAATAGGGCCCCTATTTATATGGATTCGCGCCTGTCAGGTCGAGACGGGCCGTCTCGTCTGACAAGGTCGAGACGGCGGTCTCGGCTTGCGGGAACATCGAGACGGCGGTCTCGCCATTCGCGAGTGGCGAGACAGCGGTCTCGCCATTCGCGAGTGGCGAGACAGCGGTCTCGCCATTTGCGAGTGGCGAGACAGCGGTCTCGCCAAACGAGACGACGGTCTCGCCATCCGTGCAAGGCGAGACGGCGGTCTCGACCTTAAAAGGCGAAAATCCTTATTTTTGGACCAAAAATCCCTCCTATCCTAGTATGGGGCCTAATAGTCTCTCCTAATGGCTTCTTAGGCTTCGTCCATCTTCGAAAAGGAGGTCTTCTGGTCTTTATTGTTAGGCCGGGCAAAATTTGGGGTCTATAGGCGCGAATCCCTATAAATAGTGAGCGCTCCCCCCCCCCTCATTTCACACAGTTCTTCCACTTCCCCTTCTACACTTTCTTCAAATTCTCTTCCTAGAGTCCCTCCGAAGCATTTCCGAAGTTTTTGAGTGTCTTAGAGAGCTTTTGTAGCGTTTTCGAGAGATTTCCGGCGTTGTAAGAGCGAAGGGCTGCCAAAACGCACCCTATTTTCAAGAGAATTAATCAAAAAGCTTGCTTCGGAGGTTTCTTCACTCTCTCCCTCTCTTTTACTGTCTTTATTTTCATAATTAAATTACGTAATAGACATTAGGACCATGTAGTTATTATCTTAATTCTACGAATAAAAGGGTAAAAGCGTCTTTTCAAAAGTTTATCTATAAAATAACTGGCCTATCATAGGGAACCCGAAAGGGGCGTCATGAGGGAACTAACACTTCCTTTACACGTAACTAACTCCCTTACCCAACTCTGGTTTTAACGACCAAAGTTGGTTTTTGAAAACCAACGCCTTTTTCCTCCTTTTTCGATGTTTCCGGTAAAAACATCGGTGGCGACTCCATAAGAACCCTTCCAAATTAGTTCTTAGGTCAGCCCGTTATCGGACGACCTAAGAACACCTTTTCAAAAACCTCGCCCCTAGGTTCAGCCCGGTTATCGGACAACCTAAAGGCGTTGTAACATCACCCATAAAAATGCGAAAAATGGAAAGTCGGAACCATCACGTCGCTCCGACCGCGTCTTTTTGACGGCGGCGATAGGGAAATCTGGGGAAGTCTATCAGCCATAGAAAGCAATAGAAATTGGCTAAGACGCAGATCCCCAAAGCAAAATGTTTGTTTAACATCAGCTTAAACACTTTGACCAACCTTGGCCAACCGTGCTTACAAATTCCCCTTTTGAATAAAAAAAAATACAACTGTATAAAACACAAGCCTTTGAATAAATTATCCTCTTACTTCTCTTCTCTTGACCATTATCATAATATTCTGATAATTAGTAGGGGAATATGGAGGCATATAATCAACAAGAGGATTGAAACCTCTAGAGGAAGGAAAAATGCACCGACATGGCAAGTTTGCTCCTCAATCAACAATTATTTTTCGGTCATATTAAATTCGGAATGGTAAAAACAAGTATAGCTAGAAAACGACATTAGAAGGACCTCGTCTTCAAAAGACACACCAGTTAATCCTTCTGAAAAATCAACTAAATAGCATTATAGGACACATAACATGAAAACATTACATGCATAGATATTTTTAAACAAGGTCCTATATTTTTCAAAAAAGAAAAAATCCCTTTGAAAGGCCCAGACCGCCGTCTCACCATTCATCAATGGCGAGACTACCGTCTCATCATTCGCTAAAATCGAGACCACAGTCTCGTTTGGCGAGACCACCGTCTTTCTATTTAATTAAGGCGAGCTCGCCTTCTCGTTTGGCGAGACAGCCATCTTGCCACATCGCAAAGAGCGAGACCGCCGTCTCGACATTCCAGACGGTGGTCCCAAACTTCAAAAATTCGAGACCGCCGTCCCGAATCCCAGACGATGGTTCCGACCAAAAATAAATTTTTCTATATAAAGGGAC